AGATCATTTTTATCATATTGACAAATGTTAATAAACTATTCCATAAGAAATATATTTTTGTTTGTTTTCTAAATCGATTTTACGAGGTTGTTCACCATCCGACTTAGTTTAATCGTACGGTCTACGAACGGGAACACTCCGAGTATTGAGCGATTCCCGGCAGACAACCTTTCTGTTATCCTCCGGTGACCATACCACATCAGCGCGCTGAAACAATCGCCCGATTCCCTGGCGGTCTGACAGGTGCCTGTAGGGTCACTGGTGGGTTGCCTGAAGATGTGCCACAGATCCGTTACCGATGACAGTGTGGACCACCAGTTGCCGTTAGAAAATAACTCTTCCGATTTGTCCACGATGTGTCAACGGGGTCTTTCCGATGGAAATAACACAGCCGATGCCCACGGATGATCGTCCAGCTCCCGGTTGGGTATCTCTCAATTTTGCAGATTTTCAGCCCGGCTGGGCATCGTAAACTAACCCTCTCATGGCAAAAGTGGATATGTGACCTAGGTATTGCATGAAACATTCTTTCACACTTTCATTCTTTCTTTACGTATGAATTTCCCAATGACAAACAAAAGGTGTCAGAATGTTGTCTCTGTAGTACTGTCCAGTGACGCTTCTTTTCACAATAGGGGCGGTGGGGCAGCGTAGTGGTTAAAGCGTTCGATTCCCCACATGATTACAATGTGAAGCCCATTTCTGTTGTCCCCCGACGTGATATTGCTGGAATATTACTAAAAGCGGCGTAAAACCAAATTCACTCACTCACTCTTCCTTTCTTTCCAATGTCATGAGCGTGTGCATGTGCATGCGCGTGTGTGTAGGATTGCGTCAATTTTTGCCGGCCCCTTCCCCATATTATGAACCATTTTTTCACCCCCCCTAATTTAGTTAACGTTTTTTCTTGACATTTATTCCCTTATTAAATAAACCAGTCCTTAAATATTGTGCCGTGTGATGAGGCTAACGTTGGTGAATAAATTTGTTTTATTCAAACAGAATGTCAGCTGAACGTCAATGCATGTCCCATTTCTGATGTCCCCCGCCGCGATATTGCTGGAATATTGCTAAAAGCGGCTCAGAACCAAACTCACTCACTCACTCACTCCTCTTACAATATGGAATTTGTTTTACTCATCATAATCGATCCACCGACAAATCTATCATGAGTCTGTTGACAATATAAAGGATGTGTAAGGGGCGGCACAACACGTGGCCGTCGAGCATGAAGGTGAGCCGCATGTAGATTTCTAAGTGTCTGACCCGTAACCTGCTGTTGATCCCGTCTTTGCACCATACTCCTTATCAGGTTCATCCCATAAATGTTCAGTGGGATTAAAGTCGGGGGAGCAAGAAGGCCAGTCCATTCTCCTAACGCCCTGTTGCTGAATGAAGTCGTTGACAACGTCTCCATGGTGTGGTCGAACATTATCATCCTGGAGGATTGGGGGACCTCTGTAGTGACGCATGGTCCTCATGAATGGTGCCACAATTGGAGCCACTATCTCATCTCTGTAGCGCAGAGCAGTGAGATTTCCCACAATAACGTGTAATCGTGTCCTTGCTGTTGCTGTAATTCCACCCCAGACCATTATGGAACCACCACCGAATCGATTATGGGCCACAACAGTAGCATCTGCAAAACGTTCCAGACGTCGTCTGTAGATTCTCCTACGGCCATCAAGAAATGAAACATTAAACCGGCTTTCGTCAGTAAATAACACTGAGGACCAGTGACGTTGATTCCAGCGCTGATGACATGTGCACCATAGTAAACGTGCTAGGCGGTGACGTGCTGTCAGTGGTGGACGAACAGCTGGACGTCGGGAACGGAGACCAGCTGAACGTAACCTGCTTCTTACTGTTGTCTGACTAATGCGGACGTTGGTGGCGAGAATTCACCTCTCAACTGGCGTGACGTCAGAAATCGGTTGCGTAGAGCAAGGTTGACGAGGTAACGGTGCTGTCTGTGTGTGTGTTGTAACCCTAGGACGCCCAGGTCTTTTGTCATAAGCAACAGTTCCAGTCGCCTGATGCCGCTGCCAGAGTCTCCCAATCACACTCTGAGAAACGTTAAAATGTGCAGCAACCTGACCTGGCTACTACCCGCCTGGAGCATGCCAATAGCTCGACCTCGATTTTCAATACTCAAAATACGTCGCATTCTTTTAAGTAGTGTTTTACTGTCAACGAGGCCTGGAAGCATGTGTTTCTCCGCTGATTTGCACGTGACCATACCCCGATTTGCACGTGCAAATCGTGTGATAGGTTTGCGTTCGATCTGTGTTCATGCATGAAAATCGTCAATTGTTGGAATAATTATCAGTTTGCAGACTTTTTTTCATTATTTTCTGAGGTTTAAATGTTGTTCCCTGTACTAATGCCATAATCATTAATCATGTTTGTAACCTCTAACAACCAAAGTTTATCTTAATGTCAACTCTAAATATGATTACAGCAGCTTTGATTTCTACCAGTCATTCATATGGGTGACCCTTCAATAATTGCGTTGAGTATATACTACAAGGTGAGTAATGAGTGACTGATTGAGTGAGTTTAGTTTAACGCCGCTTTTAGCACTATTCCAGCAATATCACGGCGGGGGACACCAGAAATGGCCTTCACACATTGTATCCATGTGGGGAATCGAACCCGGGTTTTCAGCGTGACGAGCGAGCGCTTTAACCATTAGGCTACCCCACCGCCCCAGGTGAGTAATGAAATACGATAGTAAATGTTGATTATTTGAATACGTTAAGATTTTTGTGTGTGTCACAAGCTGACATCTCAGGGGAAGAGTGCAACCAAAGTGAGGACATATTATATACTAGGCACATAAAGAAACTGTGCATACAAAAATTAAAATCTAAATTTAACAAACCTGTGTAGACACATAAGTATTTAAACTCAGAGATTATTGACATGTATCCAACATGCATGCACGTGCCACGTTCCGTGACGTCAGTGGGTTCGTCCTTGAGACGTTCAATACGTTGTTGCACGTGCATTTCGGGAAAGAGAAACAGAGCAAATGAATGCCACACAATACTGTCACTTTGGAAAGCTCAACCCCTGCCCTTGCGATCGTTCAAAAAATTAAACGGCTATTGAAAAGCATAGCATGCCAAGGCTCACGTCTGCACAACGTCATGAGGCCATTGGGATGGTCCGTGGGGGAATGTCTCAACGACAAGTGGCTGCACATTTCCACTGGCACCGGAACACCATTTCTGCACTGGTGAGACGCTACCAGAACACAAATGACGTCATCGATCGGCCACGTTCTGGACGTCCACGTGTAACAACGCCAAGACAGGACAGATGGAAAAGGGTGAACAATCTTCGCCACAGGTTTCAGACTGCAGTGATGACTGCCCGAACCATCCCGTACTGCCCGACTTCGCCGTATCCACCCCAACACAGTTCGACAACGTTTACGTCATCACGGGATCAGACCACGACGTCCCGCTATACGGCCTATCCTGACACAACGTCATCGACAAGCTCGCCGAATGTGGTGCCGAAATCATGTCCGCAGACCCTTGTTTTGGTGGAGAAATGTTGTTTTTACAGATGAGTCCAGGTTTAACATTTCCCATAGTGATGGACGTCAACGTGCCTATAGACGCGTGGGAGAACGTTATGCACAGGCCTGTGTCTTGGAGAGGAATCGCTTTGGTGGTGGTTCCGTGATGATTTGGGGTGGAATAACAGCACGCCAAAGAACCCCCCGGTGATTGTTCAGGGCAACTTAACTGGTGTGGGCTACAGGGATCAGATTCTTCGACCTGTGGCAATTCCTTTTCTGCAACGTCATGGCCCTGGGATAACGTTCCAACAGGACAAGTTATATGCCCGCCCTCATACGGCAAGGGTTGCTATGGATGTTTTGCAACACCACAACGTTGACTTACTGCCTTGGCCTGCAAATTCACCGGATCTCTCCACGATAGAGCATGTTTGGGACGAGATGGATCGACGTCTACGCCGTCTTCCTCATCCGCCAGATAACGTCCTTGACCTTGCAACAGAACTTGAGAGAATCTGGCGTGGTATCCCACAAGCCTTCCTTGCACGTTTGATAGGCTCTATGCGTCGTCGATGCACTGCTGTTCTCAATGCCGATGGTGGACATACCCGTTATTGAGCTTGTGACATGGTCGTTTGACCCCTGTCCCGCTTGTTGACTCGTGACGTCATTGTGATTGACTTTTCAATTGAAATTCTCCCGACTTGTTATGGTCTCATGATCCCTCCATTAAAGTTTATATGTACCTTTGACATTGTTATCGTGCTTATCAACTGGGATAATATTTTGACAATGCACAGTTTCTTTATGTGGCCAGTATAATTAAAAACACATGTTGACTATTTTAATACCGCAAAAAACCCTAAAACATATGGAGAGTTTATAATCCGATGAGTAAGTGAGTGAGTGAGTGAGTGAGTGAGTGAGTGAGAGTGAGTGAGTGCGCATGCTTTTTACTCCACTTTTTGCAATGTTCCAGCAGGGGAACACCAGAAATGAGCTTCACACATTGTACCCGTGACGAGCGGACGCTTTAACCACGAGGCTACCAAACCGCCCCTATAATGCGATGAATGAATCATGGAGTTTTGGGATACTACAAATAACACGTGGTGAGTTGTTGAATACTACAAATAACACGTGGCGAGTTGTTGAATACTACAAATAACACGTGGTGAGTTTTTGAATACTACAAATAACACGTGGTGAGTTTTTGGATGCTATAAATAACACGTGGTCAGGTTTTGAATGGTACAAATAACAGTTTTAAATACGATGAATAACAAATGGTACGTGAATGAAACAAGATGAGTATTGCCTATGTTGAATATTAAAAGGTGGTACTCTGGTTGAATATTTTAACACGACGATTAATACAAGGTGAGTGTTGCCTATGGTGTGTATAAGATTATGACGACGGTTTGCATTGTTCTATGCAACTCCATTTGGAAATAAATTCAGAGCTCACCCTTTTCTTCATTTGCACGTCTTCTCAGGTAGTCGTCCTCATCTTCGCTAGTTATCCTGGCCAGGTGACTCCCAAAGAACTGGCAGTAGGACTGGAAAGAGAACACCGAATGTTTGATTGTTTGGTTGTTGTTGTTGCCACACTCAGCAATGTTCCAGCTATATGATGGCGATCTGTAAATAATCGAGTCTGGACCAGTGTTTGCAATACTTTAATTTGCCAGTAGGCCATCAGGGCCTGCTGCCGCCTGCAGGCTATAAAATCTACAGGCCCTGAATGAAATCTGCAGGCCCATTTTGTTAAAGTCAAACCTATAAAAACAAAATAGACTACACTGTACACAGTTTCACACTGTTTCTACAAAATCATAAGCGAAGCCTATGGCGCAGATTTGAAGTTTTTATTTGTTAAAGACTGGTGTTGACATCCCTATGCGCAAAGCGCTGAAATACCAGGAAGTGAAACTGTAAATCATCGTAACATGATGGATCATGGATGATTCCCGAACGTAAATAAAGAAAACAATTATGGGTAAGGTTCCAGTTGAAAAAGAAAATTGACAGATAATTTACTGAAGGCCACAAGGGCCTGCAAATATTTGAAACTGCCGGCCCGATACAATAACAACCGGCGCTGGGCCTCCGGGCCGGCGGTTATTTCGAACGCTGGTCTGGACCACATCGATCTGCTCAATTGGGATACGATGATGTGTGTCGACGAGCCTTACCACCCGATCCCGGTAGTCGCCTCTTACAACAAGCATGGGTTGCTGAAGACTAATTCTAACCCGGAAGTGATACCAAAGAGAGTATTACAGGTTACATACTAAAAACATAGCACACAGGATGTGTGATATACTGATTGATGGTTATTGCTCTCACCCGTAGTGTGAGATGAGAGGTGTAACTGTTTCCTTTGCTTTGCCAGTAATTCCAGTAAAACATGCTTGATAGATATTTCAACATGCTTAGTGATTTCAAAATGCTATATGGAAAGTCTATATGGAACATGCTACAACACTATGGGGTCCCCCAAAAGACGGTCAACAAAATTAAGCAACAGTACAATGTTTACTTAATGCAAAGTTGTCCATGATGGAAAATTGTCTGAGGACTTCCAAGTAACAACAGGAGTTAGACAAGGTCGCTTGCTATCACCTCTTCTACCCTTGGTGGTGCTTGACTGTGTCAGAAGGGAATCCTATGCCGACAGTGGGAAAGGCATACAGTGGACTCTCACCAGTAGACTTTCAGATGACCTAGCGCTCCCAGCACACAGACTCCAGGGCATGCAAGACAAGCTGGATGGAATGGGATCTGTCTCAAGCCGAGTCGGCCTCAAGATAAACAGAGATAAGACGAAAGTTCTGAGGACCCAAAACAAACAACAAGATCCATTACAGATGAACGGACAAGTGATTGAAGACATCACCGAATTTACCTATCTGGGAAGCAAAATCAGCACAACTGGTGGCAGAGACGAGAACATCAAGGCAAGGATCTGAAAAGCCCAATATGCTTTCACCACATTAAGACCGATCTGGAAAAGCGCTGTCCTATCCCTGAAAACCAAGCTGCGGATCTTCAGCCTTAATGTTCGTTCTGTCCTGCTTTATGGATTGGAAAGGTGGAAAGTAACCAAGATCAGCTCCATCAAAATACAGACTTTCCTCAACAAGTGTGTCCGACAGATCCACCTCATCAAGTGGTTCAATAAAGTCTCCAGCCTTAACTTGTGGGAAGCAGCAAACCAAGACCCAGTCTCCGCTCAGATCAAGCTACAGAGTGGTGTTGGAAAGCACAAAACAAATATCACCAGACAAGCGCTTGACTGGAACAAGGCAAGAGGAAAAGAGGACGTCCAAAACAGACCTGGAGACGAAGCCTGGAAAAGGAACTGAGGGAAACCGGTTTAACCTGGGAGGTTACCAACAGCTCAGCCTCTGACCGACAAGCGTGGAGGACATATGATCCTCAAGGAGTACAGAGGACTAAGTGAAGTAAGTCAAGTCAATGATTTCAAAATGCTCAGAAATCAGAATTCACCTTTTGTGATTTCAACATGCTAAAAAATCCAACATGTCTAGTGATTTCAACAATCTTAGTGATTTCAACAATCTTAGTAATTCCAAAGTCCTTAATGATTTCATCAAGCTCAGAACAATCCAACATGCTACGGAATTCAACATGCTTAGTGATTTAAAAGTGTTTACTGATTAAAACATGTTTAGTGATTTCAAAATGCTTAGGGCTTAAAAATGTCAACATGCCTAGTGATTTCAACAATCTTAGTGATTCCAAAGTCCATAATGATTTCATTATGCTCAAAATAATTCCAGCATTTGCTAAGGTATTCAACATGCTTAGTGATTAAAAAATTTTCAACATTTTAGTGATTTCAACATGCTTAGTGAGTGATTAAAAGTGATTTCAACATGCTTAGTGAGTGATTTCAAAATGTTTAGTGATTTCAAGCATGCTTAGTGATTTCAAAAATGTTTAGTGATTTCAAAATGCTTAGTGATTTCAGCATACTTAGTGATTTCAATATACTTAGTGATTAAAAAATGTTTAGTGCTTTCAACATGCGAACGCTGTATATCATTTGACCCGTTATTAATGACGCCTCGTATATATAAATAATGTTGATAAAAACAAACAGTTGCCGCAACCACCAACCAGGGAGTCAAGGGGGGACTGGCCGTGACCACCCCCCAGGGAGAGAGTAGGGGAAAGCAAGGGGGAAAGGCCGTGTCTGATCCCCCAGTGGAAAGCAGGGGTGTAGAGAGAGGAAAGGGAGCAGCCGTGACTGCCAAAGAGATTGAGCCCGAGAGTCTGCCCAACTCTCAGAGCCTTACAGTTAGCAAGGAGGTAGCCGTTTCTACCTCCACACCAACCGCCGGTAGGGTTGGCATAGATATGGGACTGCCCACCCCAATATCAATAAATATAGAAATGGCCTTTGAGTCCGAAGAGGGAGTGCCTAGCCCTCAAAATATCATAAGGGGAATGCCCAGCCCCAACAGAGATAGCTAAAAAATGAAAGAGCCTGAGAACGGTCCCGGTAAGACCAGCAATGATTTCAGTCCGCAACCCACAAACCCCAAAAAGCGCAAAATCGATACAGCAGAAAGTCCAAACAGCTCCTACTCAGAAGCTGCAATGAGTCTGCCCAAGGGGAACACTAGTTACTCTGAAATTAGCCAGTCAGACCGGGCGATAGTTCAAGAGCTTTGGATCAGGAATATTAAGTGAGTGAGTGAGTGAGTTTAGTTTTACGCCGCACTCAGCAATATTCCAGCTATATGGCGGCGGTCTGTAAATAATCGAGTCTGGACCAGACAATCCAGTGATCAACAGCATGAGCATCGATCTGCGCAATTGGGAACCGATGACATGTGTCAACCAAGTCAGCGAAACTGACCACCCGATCCCGTTAGTCGCCTCTTACGACAAGATAGTCGCCTTTTTATGGCAAGCACATGGGTTGCTGAAGACCTATTCTACCCCGGATCTTCACGGGTCAGGAATATTAAGAAGTCCAATGACAAAGCTAGACAAGCCAAAGCTACGGCTAAGGCTGCCCTCCAAACAAAGCAGCAGGGGTGGGAGAAGCTAGTCTACTGTACAGACTACAACCTCACCCTCTCCAGCAGGGTCTCGGCCCAAGCTTAACGGGAGGAACTAGTGAAGTCAATCTCTGTGACAAAAATACATAAAGCAAATCGGGGATATGTAGTCAGAGGTGACAACATAAATCATTGCGCCAAGCTCCCCACAAAAGTCCTTGACCAGGCTATAGTTTGGAAAGTGCCAGGCTGGGTCTCACACACAAGCCAAGGCAAAAATACAAGAGTAGTAATACTCACAATATTGGGAACCACAGTCCCAGAGACAATCAAAGTGGCAGGCGAAGTAGTAGCGACACTTCCCTACCTCAGGCGATCAAAACAGCGCGTCAACTGTCTAAATTACGGGCATGTTAAGGCAAACTGCCTCAGCGAGGCAAAATGCCGAACATGCTCTAGGCCAGCCAAAAGCTGCAAGGGCAACTGCTCGCTTTATTGCACCAACTGCAAAGTTAAGGGACACTCGTCCCTATCCAACTTTTGCAGGAGCAAGCAGCATAAAAAAACAGAGTCTAAACACGGAGACTCGTGGCCTTAAACAGACGACACAAACTGTTCAGGGCAATAAACAGGCGGCGACCAAGGGCAACGTCAATGCTAAGACACGGGCAAACAAAGACGCTGAGGCTACCAGCACAGAGGTAAAAGGGGCAGAAAGGGTCCAAACAAGGTGGCAAACAACACGGGCAATGTTGAAACCACCAGCACAACGGGAACAGGCAAAAGGCATGCTGTAATAAGCCATGATAGCAACACAAATGCCCACAACCAGACTACCCCAGACAAGCTGGTTGAATTCATGTGCGCTGCCTTAATCAAACTAGGCACACATAAGGACAGTGATGAATGGGCAAAACTCATCATACTTTGGGAGTTAGCAACCAGCATCCTGTCCTATGGGCAAACTGCTTCCTATCTCACACAGCAGATACATAAGCTTAAATAAACATTTAAGCTACAAATAATAAGGACACAACTGTCATCATGTGCTTACAAATATTGCAATGGAATGCCAATGGTCTGAGGTCGCATGGCCAAGAACTCATAGCCCTAGTCAGACAACAGGTACTGAACCCCCACGTTATACTAATTCAAGAAGCGAAACTGGGGAAGAGAGCAAACTTTCGGTTACCTGGCTACACACAATACCGCAAGACAGAGCGGGGCGAATGGGGGCTGGACTGGTCACTTTTGTCGTCGACAACTGTACATCCACTGAGGTCAAAGCAGAGGTGGGAAGCCTTGAAACCCAGGTCATCACGGTCAGCATGGCAAATAGCAAAGAGATACGCATTGCAAACGTCTATCACAGGACTACCGATCCCACCAACATCGAGGAGCTTAACACACTCAGCGACTTGGTCGGGCATTCAGGCCTAATCCTTGGCGACTTCAACGCCCACAGCCCGCTGTGGGGTGAGGAAACCAACCACTCTGACTGCCCCGGCAGGATGATGGAGGAT